TATCACTTACTGATAAGTCTCTCTAAAATTTTAATAGTCTAGAGAATTATTACAAGCCTAATAAAGTTAAGGCATGATTGCTGAATTAGTAAAAAAAAAAATAATAATAATAATAAAGAAAAAAAATACGACAACAAATTGTATGATTTGTTATTCAAGTTATTTGCTAATTTGATTCTCTTTTATAATTTTAGGTATATTATACGAATGATGATTGTTAATCATATTTATTGGTATTTTACTTCATGATTACTATACTTAAAGATATCAATATATATATTTTTATTCTGATTTTCTTATTAAAGCATTTAATTCTTATTAATAATTTTTCTTTATTAAATTTGTAAATAGGGCTTATTGCATTCTTATTTCGAGTTTCTTATTTGATGTTTAATTAATTTTAATTTCCTTTATTAATAGGGTTTATTACATTTTTATTTTGATTTTCTTATTTGATATTTAATTTTCTTTATTAATAGGGCTTAGTACTATTATATTCTCATTTCGATTTTCTTATTTGACATTTAATTAATTTTTAATTAAGTATTTTTTTTTAGCATCACTCTTTGAACAATGCAGACATATAGCATTAGAATAATAGCTACTTTCCCGAATTAAAAGCTAATTGTATTGGCTTATATCAATAAACTTATTGATTTGATCAAATAGTAGTTAATTTGTAGTAATTGTTCCAAAATTGCCATAGCAATTAATACTATGCATAGCAGTTGCAAAACTATGCTTTAAGCACTTTTCTTAACACGCTATTTATTACTTATCCTTTTTTAGATTAGACTATAAATAACAGTATACAATGTAATTTTTTATGGTTAGTGTCTTTAACCATGGATAATGAATCTAGAAATCTGCTAATTTTATTTTAGTCAAGTGTAAACATGTGAATATAGTTAATAAAAAAATCTTAGGAGGGCAAAGTGTAGCCCGAATTTAATGTGATAAAATAGTATAAGTAATCAATTCAACTATTTTTAAGCGATGATTCAACTTATATTAATATTACAATAAATAAAAATTGAACAAATTCAAAAATATATTTAATTTATTATAGTAAATAAAAATTGAACAAATTCAAAATATATTTAATTTATGATGTAGATATTATATCAAAATTAAATTAAACGAACTTGAAAGTATATTTTTTATATAGCGATTATGCCAAAAAAATTACTGGCTGAACAAGCAGAAGTGAAGTTATGAAAAGCCATTGATGATGAATAGAGCTTTACTTAAAAGAAAAGAAGTTTATTAAGTAAATTTAGACCAAACAGTTGGCATGAAAATCAGGAAAATTAGACCTTGTATTGTAATAAGTGATGATTAATTAAACATATTTAATAGTGAATAATTATTGTTTTGATAACTTCTAACCCAGTTTCTGCTATTCCTTTTTATCTGAAAATAAACTTTGCTAGTAAAAAATCAGCTGTTTTGCTAGAACAAACCTACTCAATTAGTAAAAAAAAAAAAAAAGAAAGCTCTAATTTCTTCAATTCACTTTGCAGCACTACCCTTACTACTTCTAAATGTTTTTTCAGCTAATTTTTTATAGATGTCCCAGGAATAATAAAAATAGCTGTAATAATTACACTATTGTGTAGCAGATATTAAATAATAAAACCAAATATTGGCAGAGATACTGTAGTAAAAAAGGTTTTAAATAGAGACTTTTCACTTACCTAGTATAAGTATATATGTATTAGGGTTTAGGGTTAGGACTAGGTTAAGGTTAAGTAGGGGCATGCTTTTTGACTTTAGGGTATGTCATAGGCATGCTCCATACTCTCATGCTCTATACCCTATCTACAATATTTACTAATTCCAAATTGGGAACAGGTACTGCCAAAATAGGCTCCAAAATAGTGCGGAAAGGCTACTATGTATGTTTGGAACTTCTAGAAAATTCTGGCAGGTTTTACTCTATCCTAAACATATAGATATGTATAATGCATTAAGTTAAGTATTATATAATTTTTATAATAGTTAGACTAAAATTTAATATATATACTGTCTTGTACTCTTTTTTTTCAATTTTTTTTTTTCTTGTCTGTACTTTGTTTTTTCTTTTTTCTTATTTTTTCTTTTTCATTCTCTTTTTTTTTTTATTTTCTTAGTAAATTCATTTAGTTAGTTCCCTACTTTATCCTTTTGCTCTTTTTGAAGAAGGAAAGATTTAAGAAAAAGTAGTTTTGACAAAGCTAGTAATAAGCTTCTTAATGAATCAGAAAACATAGCTTTAGAAAGTTAGAGCTCAATGAGAAAAGATATTATTGCTACGTAAGGTTGCACATAGGTACTTCAGTAACTGGGTAAGCCTTTATTGTGTAAGGAGGGAAATTTATATAGTTTCTATATAATTTTTTTTAGTAGCCTATTACTATTACCTCTTATAATAAAGGCAGGACTATGTATAAAAAAAAAAAAAAAAAAAACAATATACTGTATACAATAATATATATTATATTTTAAAATTACAATAATTAAATAATTAATATACTGTAGCAGCTTATACTAAAATTGGCTTGTGCTAATATTTGGAATTTCTATTTAAATCTATACTATCTACTGTAGTAACATCCATCTACACTCTTTTATTAATAACCCTAGCCCTAAACTCTAACCTAACTATGAAAAAAAAAACTTCTAAAATTTTATAATTTTATAATATAAAATAATTTAAAGGGTTTTATTTTTTATTGCACCTGCAATGTATTGCACCCCTACTATATATTAGAATTTTACTAGGGTAACCCCTGTCGTGTAACTAACGAAAAATGATCCTCTCGCGATTTTACCTAACCCCAACCCTAACCCGAACACTAACACTAACCCTAACCCTAACATTAACACTAACCCTAATTATTATAGGGGTGCACCCTAACTCTAATTATTATAGGGGTGCAATGTATTGCACCGTGCAATAAATTATAAAATCCTAATTTAAATTCTCAGCATAAGCTGCCACAATAATTGTAAGCTTTAATGTTAAATTTATATTTTCAAAACTTTGTTTTAGCCAACCTTTATAAAGCATTCCCTATTATCTGATCGACCACTCAAAAACTGAGAAAAATAATCTGGCTATGAACAACACACAAACATTCAAGTGGCTATCGCTCAATATTAACATCTTGTGAACACAGCGAACAATTGGTATCCGAAATCTGAATATTATATAGTGCTTGCGGCCATTTGAGCATTTGATTGAGTTATAGGCAGACCGGCGAGCTTTTTAGAGAGATAACCTCTGTTTTTGTAATTCGAGTACCATTCTATGAAAGCAAAATTAAATAACATCAAGATATCATCAAACAAACCTAATTAATGTAAAAGAATAAATTGAGAATTACCGATATCTTTTGCTTTGACAGGAGCAGCAAATTTTGGTATCCTCCAAAACTTCTCTGGTTTAATAGTAGCTCTTAAAGCAAGTCTGTTATAATATCTACAGGTAACCTTACCACCAGCTTTTTCAACAGCTTTAATTGCAGCTTGAGATGCACGAGCGACCTCAATTGTAATTGGGGTTTTGAAATAATGTGAACCCTAAAGAAGAAAATTTTCAAAATTTGATAATTTTTGTGACTAAAAAAAATCGTAAATAAAATTTAGACTACATCAGCCAACAATTTGACACCATCTTTAACACCGTGTACACATCTCGTATCTAAAAGATGTTTCATGGTAATTGTTTGCGAGGGATCAATTCTACCGATATTTATCCAGTGTTGGAGACGATCAAGGTTTAAAGGAGCATAAGTTTTTTCATTCCTATTTTCGAAACAGGTAAAAATTATTGGGTTATTTTAAAAAATAAAAATATCACAAAAATGGACGTACCGATTATGAAAACCACGCTTCGGAAATGCTACGCTAACAGTTGTCTGACCACCTTCAAAGCCACGTCTTGGTTTACCATTACCACCTCTTGCTTTCTGACCCTTTTGACCTCGACCGCAAGTTTTGCCATGTCCTGAAGCAGGTCCGCGACCGACACGTTTACGCTGTTAGAAAGTCCTAATAAATGTTATGAACAAAGGAACAAAGTAACTTTTGAAAGTCTTAATAAAGTACTTCGTAATAACCTGCTTTGTTGCTCCAGGGTTATCGCATAAATTTCCTAAACCTAATAAAATTCGAGGTTTTTGTAAAATTGTTACATATGTTCGAAAAGTTGTGCAAGTTGATTTTAGAATTGAATGCATATCGATATTTTTTAAAATTAATAATTGATCAAAAGTTTCGGAGCAATTAAAAGTTGAATGATTATCTACATGCCGATAACGATAACGATAACGATAATACTGTAATACTGTAATAACGATAAATGATAAAGTTTATGATTTAATTTTAACCAATTAAATTGATTAACTGCGATACGAATTAATCATGTGATCATAAAATTAAGCAATTAATTTTATCCTGGACCGGGTAGCTTTAGGTTAGGGCAGACTTACAGATAAAATTACTTTTCTCGAAATTTTTATTAATTTGACCAAGGAGGGTTTAGATGGCCGTTTTCCATATATTCACAATTTTTACTTTTTTTTTTTCATCATCATTGCTAGTGTTTCGCGCAGATCGGATCTGATGAGGGGATATTCAATTTTTATAGGGAATTCTCTTTCATTAATGATTTTACAGTAATATTCTCAAGTTCAATTACAGTAATGTAAATATTAGACCATACAAAATTAATTTTAGGGTTCTCATAACAAATTATCTTTTAATTTATTTAAAAAAAATCCACCCAGATAACAAATATAATAAGATTTTGTTATGAGAAGCAAAAAGTTCAGTTTGTATAGTCTTTAATAAACTGAATAGCTTATTTTTAAGTGAATTAATAATCTTTATACTGTATTTTATTCACGAGCTTTACGTATTAACATTTAAATACAATATACAGTATATATATAGTATACTGTATTACTGCATATATGTGTATATATATAGCTTATAATTTATATACAGTCAACCTCCTCTATAATCACATGTTTTGTTTACTTAATAACTTTTTTAAAAAATATGCTTATAAAGAGGTTGTGCTTATATAGAAGTAGTTTTTTATATGTTTAATAGTAATTTGTTTTTGAGTATAGAATGTGATAAAGAGGGATTTTTATATAATGTGATTACAGAGGAGGTGACTGTAGAGAGGGATGACTGTATTAGGGGGTTTCAAAGTTAAAATCAGAGAATCTTATTTTATTTTTCCGATTTATAATTCAACATAGTAAAAATACTATTGAAAAAATCCTATTTATTTTCGAAATGCGTCACTTATTTGTTAACTTTGAAACCCCCCAATTATGTATATTGTAATGAATCAATATTTTTAGTTAAAAAACAAAATAAGTAAGGTTTAAACTACAGTTTTAATTTTGTTTTAAAAACTCAAAAGCTTAACCATTAACGCTAAGGCCACAAGGTTCTCATAAACCGACCGGTCGAATTCTACGACCCGGTGGATTTTTTTAGATGCTATAAAAAATTTTTTTTTATATACAGTATAAAATCCGGGTTGCCGGGTTTAAAACTATATAATATTTATAATTAAAGCTATATATATATATATATTAAAGCCACGTTTTATTTAGATCACAGAATAATTTCATTGACAAAATTTTTGATTTCTTTATGATCGTTATGACGTAATATTGAACAAAAGTAGTGTTCTAAACTTATTAAAACCGTGAAAGGGATATGTAATAAGAAGTGTTAAACGGTAACATCTTTAATGCTATCGCTTTGGTAAGTTTCCAATTGTTTTTTCCCTCTTCTTAACAAATATTCTATTGCAGCATGATCCTTTGGTGAAATTCTGTGCTGTCGAAACTGGAATCTTAGAAATTGTTGAAACCTGATTTGTGTTTCCTTTTAAAAATTTATAAAATTCAGAAAGTTCAAGCTAAGAAATTAATATGGCAATTAATTTACTCATTAAATGATACGTATTAAACTTACTGGTGGTTTTCTTTTTATAGCTTTGCAACACTCTCGATAAAATCTGATCACTTCAATTTGCAATTTTGACCTTCGGATACCAGCACTTAAAGCTGTAGATGTGGGAAACATTGTTGAAAATATGTTACCAGTTACTGCGTACGTACGTACGTACGTATGTACGTACGTATGTACGTACGTATACGTAATTCAGAAATCAAAATTTTCCTAACTGATATACAGATATATATATATGTATAAGATCAACAGCATAACCAACTGACCAATATTTTATATATAGCTCGGTATATCTGTACATATTATCGGTACTTGAAAGTTATATATTAGTTATATTGTCTGCCTAATTTTTTTCTACATTCCCTCAATAAAGATGACGGATCAATCAATTTTTGGTCGTTTTCAAGCGAATGACGTTCCATACGTAGCCTTTCGGGACGATAATGAAGATCCTGAGGATGAATTTTCAGATAGCATGGTACTGCGTCCAACAGCGAGTACTTCGTCACGGACTGCACCTTCTACTTTCCAAAATTTTACTACAAGCAGGCAACGTTATCAACATTTGCCCGAGGACGATGAAATTGAAGATTCTGATCCAGAAAGCAACGAGGCGCCCGCTTCCCTGATAGTAGAGATGCCTCAACCTCAACAGCCGCAACAGCGCAGTAGAAGGACACACCCAAGTCCAAAACCAGGAATGAATATACGTGAATTAACAATGTGGAAATGGGTCAACGTTGAAAATTTAGACTTGTTTTTTGAGCAGGTTTTTTTTTTTTACTAATTTAATTTTTTATTTTTGCTGCTGATCTCTAAAACCTTTTGTTTTTCAAGGTTTATGCGTATTATGTTGGAAAGGGTTTTTACTGCATTATACTAAGAAGATTTTTAAACTTATTGTAAGTTTACTGTCTAATTTATTTATTCGATTCCCATTATTTAATTTACCTTTTATTTGCTTGATTTAGGACGCTTGGATTTATCATTAGCTTTACTACCTTCTTATTGGAATGCGTTGATTATTCTCTAATAAAGCATAATAATACATTATCTAATGTTATAATACCTCATTGTCTTAGTCGGTACGCGTTTATCTGTTATCACTATTAAATTATTTCAATAACTGATCGTCTAACTTCTTTTTTTATTTATTTCATGGTACCAAGTCTATCAGGCTGGTCAATGTTATTTACTACTTTATTTTCTATTGCTTGGGTGTGGCAAGCTGTGAGATTAGTATTGGACATTCGTCGTCTAATTGACATGTATAATTTTTATACATATCTTTTAAATATTCCTGATGTATGTTGATTTAATCGTTCTTCTTCATTATGATTATTTTTATTAAATTACTTTATGTATATATTAGGCTGATATACAAACAATACCATGGCAAAAAGTTGTTAACCATATAATCGAGCTCAGGGATAATAATCCTACTACCTCTCATCAGGGTCCTAACAATAAACCTCAGCAACGTCTGGATGCTCACAATATAACTAATAGAATTATGCGTCAAGAGAATTATCTCATCGCTCTCTTTAATAAGGATTTGTTAGATCTCACGATACCAATTCCTTTTTTTAGACAGAAAAACTTTCTGACAAAGACTCTTGAATGGAATTTACGTTATTGTATCATAAATCATGTTTTTAATGACCAAGGTCAAGTCAGAAGACTTTTTGTTAAAGACACTAAAGGTGTCCAAAGGGAGAGATTGACTCAAGGGTAGGTCATAATAATATAAACTTTTTCACTTAAATAATTTAATGGTTCAATTCATATATTCTTTTCTCACGTGTCGATTATATTTACTTTAGTCTACGTCGTCGCTTCATCTTCATGGGAATTCTTAATTTAATATTCGCTCCTTTTATAGTAGTTTATCTGCTCATATATTTCTTTTTCCGTTATTTTGAGGTATGCTTTAAATTTTTCAATTTTACTTTACATATATACATACATGCATACATATATATATGTGTATGTATGTATTTTGTTTTTTATGACATTTGAATTTCCTGACCCTGTTCTATTTAGGAATACCGTAACAACCCGAAGAACATTGGTTTGCGCCAATGGTCTCCTTTTGCACGTTGGAAATTTCGTGAATTTAATGAATTACCTCATTTATTTAATCAGAGATTGGACAAAAGTTACAAACAGGCAAACAAATATGTTGATCAATTCCCAAGAGAAAAGACTGCCTTGCTTGCAAAGTAATTCTTATCTCATCAAATTTTGACTGCAAGTGATATGATATATATAAATATATATATATATATATTATTTTTTCCATCGAAAATATAGGTTCATATCTTTCATAGCTAGTTCTCTCACTGCCGTGTTACTTCTCGCAAGTATTATTGATTCTGAGGTTTTTTTGGGGTTTGAAATTTCGCCTGGTCGTACCGTTTTTTTTTATCTCGGCTTGTTGGTCCCAGTTGTGGCTATTAGTCGCGGAATGAATGTGGAAGATCACGTCGTATTTGACCCAACCGTCAGATTAAAGAAAGTTGTAGAACAAACTCATTATTCCCCCGATAATTGGAAAGGAAAATTAGATACTGACGATGTATGAATTACTTTTCATGTTTTGTTATACCAATATTTTTAAATTTTTTATTTACATCATAAATATGTAAAATTTTATTCAGGTCCGCAGAGAATTTATTGAGCTGTTTCAAGTCAAGATCATGCTTTTTATTCAAGAAATACTTAGTGTTATTTTCACGCCATTCATCCTTTGGTTTTCCCTTCCGGATTGTAGTCATATCCTTTATTTAAGAATTTAGTTATTGATATTAATATGCTATCAAAATATGACTTTTTAATATTTTTCTTTAACTATATTTATGGTTTATTGCACAGCAAATTATTGATTTTTTTAGAGAATTCACTGTGCATGTAGACGGCCTTGGATATGTTTGCAGTTTTGCCGTATTTGATTTTAAGAGACATGGCAACGTGAAGGTAACTATTTGTTAATGTAATTTGAAAAATATTTTATAAGTAATTTATTAATAGATAACTTTCAATTTGAATGAAGTATGGTGCTCCAGCAGAAGTCGAAAATGAATATTACCTTTCGAAAGATGGTAAAATGGAAAAGAGTTTTTTGAATTTTAAGGTCTGTATAAACTTTATAAATTTGTTAGTTTCTATTGTTTACAACTAAAAAAAAAAAAAAAAAATTTTAATCACTTTTTTAATTCATTTATTCTATAAGGCGAATCATCCTGATTGGGAACCTACCGATCCAGCTGGATCTCTTTATCTTAGTCGCCTTAATTTTAGTAACCAAATACACTCAGAACGCCATAATTCAATTCGCTCTGCCCCTATAGATTCAATACTAAAGAACAATCGACGTAGTATGAATAATGTTCATTTCGGGTATCCACCTGGTGCTTCTCAATACAATTATGCTACCACTAGTGTTGGAATAAATTCCACGATAGATGATAGACCATCATCATATGTACATAGTAATGCATCACGAAGTGGTCGTATTAATGATCAGTCCACTTCAGAAATTCAAAGTTCACCAGATTCAAGTCAAGAAGGACATTTTGCGAGCGATTTGAGTGGTTCGTACTACTTAACTGGAACAAAAAATACGAATTTATCTGAATCTAATGAACCTGATGGACCACGACATCATGGTGTAATTGGATTACTAAACCAATTTTATGAACTTAATAATTCGTCTATGTAGAATTATATATTGTACAATTAATTTGATTTTTATTATGGAATGGTCAGTGATGGGTCATTTTTTTAGTAATGTAAGGTTGGGATTAAATTTGGTGATCCATATAGATTTAAGTGAAAACATGTGTTATTTTAGAATCATTCATTATTTTTTTTTCTAATATTTTTGATTTCAATAATATAATTTAAAGTTTAAAAAAAAAAATAATAATGCATCTTTACATAATTTTAAGTTATAGAATCATTTGAGGAATAGCATGCAAAGTTATTATTAGAGCAATAATAAAACAAGTATAAATATTTTAAAAAAAATTAGAAATTTACAAATACAGTATTATCTATTTAAATTCTTCTCTATTCTTCACAAAAAGACCAAACTTTAATAATTCCAACTTCTTCTACTATATCTGCATTGGTACTAGATTCTGTTATTATATTTTTAGAAAGAGACAGTTCTGACCATCCAGATGGAGATGGTAATGACTTTGAAAATTTCGCCATTTTATTCTCTTGGTCATCAAAAGTCTCACCATTACAGACACTCACAATTCGACCTTCATCAAAACCAACCCATTTAATACCCCAATTTTTTATTTTACTTTGAGGAATATCGTAATTTGAGTCGTTAAATTGATTCAGAGAATCATTCAGTGTAACAATACACTCGCCATGTTTCTTTCTTCGTGCAATTAATCCAACGAATGAAAAATCATCATTATGATTATATTGATATCCTTTTAACTCTTGTGCATCATCATAATCATCATAATGTTCAATATTATTATTATTATTATTTTGATAATTATAATTTTTCTCTAAATTCCAACCTAAATCCCATATCTTAATAGTTTGATCCATAGCTCCAGTAATCAATTTACCATGCTCATCCATAGCGACAGACATAACGCTTCCTGTATGTCCATATAAAGTTTGAATGTGCTTACATTCCAAAGTCCTTCCGTTATCAAGCACGTAGTATACTTGTAGTGTATTATCAGCATGAGCTGTAACTAATTGCCCAGAATTATATGTAATAGTTGTTATAGGTGCAATGGAAATAAATGGTGGTAAAGTTGTTGATGATGGGAGATATGAACAATGCTTGGTTGAAAATAACGTAATAGTTGAAAATTTAATCTCTTGAATGCCTGCGGTCCAACCTCCTCCGTACATCGGAGTAGAATAAACAATTGTAGCAGTCCAAGCGTTCCAATCCATGTCACAATTCGTTGTAATTTGATCAAGATTCTCTTGTGAACATTTGGTTGATATTTCAATGGGTGTCCAACAAACAAAGCTTTTTAATTGATGTATGAGTTGACATTCGACTAAATTTTCGTAAATCAAAAGGTTTTTATTATCCTTCGATTTGCCTTTATCTTTCTGTTTGAAGTCGATATAATAAATTGAAAGTACGAAATCTTTGTTACAAGTAATCAAAATTGGGGAATATAAAGAACATGCAATTAGAGGACTTGCATTATGTGATATTGCTGAAGTAGTATATAATTCCCGATGTCTCCAGTCATTTTCAAGATTTTCATTTTCGTCTCTTTCTAATGTATTAAATTCCCAAATGGTAAACCCTCCATTTGAGTATCCGGAAACAAGTTTACATACGCCTAAATGATCATCTCGTTCATTACTATCAAGTTTTAGGCATGTTATATAGATAGGATTTATACATCCTTGAGTTGCGATAATATGGGATAAAATGTTACTTTTTAGAGTACCTATATGTTCATTATGTTTGCCAGCTCGCCATAAATGAACTTCTGGTGTATTATTTAGGTCAGGATTTGAAGATGAAGCAGTTAAAATAATATGTTTTTTAAATTGAACAAGTGGATTGGAATTTGTGTTAAATGAAAAAACTTGAGTTTTATTATATTCAGTCAAAAGTGAAAAGGAAGTTTTTTGAAAACGATCTTGAACCAAATTATCATAAGGTTTAAAATCGATAACACGACAATTTCCAGTTTGCCAATTGTGATTTACTCGATATATACTTTTCCAATCTTCACTATCTGAAATATCATTTTCATTCACATTTTCGTTGTTAGCAATTATCGAAGGTTTAAGTGGATTAGTTGGTTGAGTTTGTGTTAATTGAAGAGTTTCCAAACGATATGTGAGATTAGGACGATTCGGTGCTTTAAATCTTGATAAAAAGAGACTTTTCCACAGCTAATATATTCAAATAAATTTTAATTAAGATAAATAAATTCATTTAATTCAAAAAAATAAAGAAAAAAATAAAAACTCACTTGACGATCGTTGGCAATTCGCCACCATTTTCGCGAAACTTGCGAACATATGCTTACGTCTGCAGCTGATAAATACCTAAAAACATGAAGATTTAATTCGTCTGAAAAAATATTGACAAAGTCTTTTTTTTCTTCTGTAGTATTATTGACATTCTGAGTGTTATGTTTTGTCTTTCTTTGTTTATTACGAGATCGTTCATTGACAAATTTTTTTTTGTCGCGAAACATGTTAGAATAAATTATTAATAATTAAAATGATCAGACTAACGCTAATCACCGAATTTTTATTGATAATTGACCAATAAGAATTAAGAGATTCTATTACCGATATTAAGAATTTTTTTGGTCGGTATACGTATACTGGATAAAATGATTCGTCGTAACCCTACACGTTTAGAAATTCGCCAAGAGAATGTTGAACAACTTCAACTTCTTCGACAAGAATATAAGAAAAAACTTTCACAAAAACCAGGAGCAAGTGCTAAAGGTAAAAGAAAAAGTATGGAAATCGAAGAGGAAACGGAAACAAATTTAAACCTTCAACAAGTGGATCAAGAGCCAATTGTAGGCGCAGAAGAACTTCGAAATAGAAGAAAGAACATGTAAAATAGAAGCACAATTTTTTTTTTCTATTTAGATATTTAATTTATCATACATCTTATTTATCAAATATCTCATACATACATATAGGACTGTGCAAGAGAGGATTGGTTTAGTAGGAAATGGAAATCAATAGGTGTACAAAAGTAGTGGATAGATTTCTTTGGCAATAAAATAATTATCATCAATTGGTAAAAAAATTTCATGGTGAATTGTTTTTAAGTTTCTTTGTCACATCGTGTTAAGGTGTTTTCATTATCACGAATGCAATGTGCCTTATATTGAAAGTTTAATTCTCTTTACTTTTGCGTTTTGAAGTACAGTATCTATGTAGTTGAAAATAAGCAATACCTTAATTTTAAGTGTTAAAATACTAAAAAAATAAAATAAGCAACTCTTATAAATAGAATAGATAGAATTAAGTATTTCAAAGTTACTGA